AGACAAGCTGTGTGTAATCAGTAAGGTATATATACCTCTGCTGCTCCGCAATAAAGCGGCTCCTGCTACCTTGGGTGCCCGCTACCTTGAGTTCCCGCTCAGTTCCCACTGAGTTCCTGGTAATAAAGCAGTTCCCACTTCAACCTTCACAAGTTGCTTGTCACCTCCCGGTTATTGTGCCCAGCCGGACTGCGGCAGGAGAGGGCAGGGGGTATGGGGGCAGGAAAGATGGTGAAATGAAATGGATATCATTATCCTAGGTACATGTATGATTGCACATATGGTGCAATGCTACATTGTATATAACCAGAGAAATAAAGTCGTGTTGCAATTATGTACAATGAATCAAAATGCATTCTGCTCTCATATATATCTAATTAGAAGGAAGGAAGGAAGGAAGGAAGGAAGGAGTATGCATTTAAATATAAAATGTGAAACTAAACTAAAACTTAAAAAAGCTAGAAGAAAATCTTCAGCATCTACAGCTAGGCAAAGAGTTCTCATGCTTTTGATGCTCAAAACGGAAAATTAAAAAGAAAGTATTATATACTGGGCCTCAACAAGATTCAAAATTTTTGCTTTGTATAAGAACCTGTTGAGTGAATGAATAAACCATCCAGAGACTGTGATAAAAGGCAATAGCAGCTTTATTCATAATTGTCCCAATCTGGAAACAACTCAGATGTTCTCCAAAAGGCAGTTATTGGACAAACTATGGCTATCCTTACCATAGAAGGCAATAAAATGAATAAAATACTGATATATGAGACATATATATGTGGATTATGTATATATGTACATATATACAAAACTGCTAGGCAATTATGCTGAGTGACATAGAGCCAATCCAAGAGGCCACATATTGTATAATGCCACTTATATAACATTCTTGAAATGACAAAATTTTAGAATTTTGTCCAGTGGTGGAGGGTGAAGGTGGGAGTAAAATGAAGGTGACTCATAAAAGAACAGTCCTTGTGGGAAGGGATCTTCTGCACTCTGACCTTATCAGCTTCAATTCCCTGGTTGTGGTGTTAGACTCCAGTATTTCAAGATTCTACTGTTGGAAGTAACTAGGTAAAGGATACATAGGATTCCTATGCATTATTTCTTACAACTGCACATCAATCTATGATTGTCTTGAAAGAACAAGTTTCATTTTAAAACTTTTAGTAACACCATTATATGTTTAGATAAAAACAATAAAGTTTATCTGTTTGACTATAGAAAATTCTGAAGTGACACGATCATTCCTTTTATTCTCAGCAGAGGCAGATGAGAATCTAAACAGAAATAAGTAGGTCAATCATTAAAAGCCCCTTGTAAAATTTAAAAGACCAAAATGAACTTAAAAAATAGTCACAAAATCAGTCAGAACTGATTCCTTGAGATGCAAAGACAACTTAAAAAAAAAAAAAAAACAGGAGAAATTCAATTCTCCCAAGAGAAAGACATAAGCAAATAATATGAATAGAAAGTTTATAAAATGAGACATGCAGATATACTATACCTTTATAGAACGAGTTTAACCTCAGTAGAATTAATAATAACAGAATGTGAATCTGCTGTAGTCTGCCACATGGGCAATGAGTGTTGAATATGGCAGGAATGTGTCTCAGTAGGGAGGTGCTGTAAATAGCAATAGCAACATTCCAGATGCCAGTTTGTCAATATTTAAAAACACGATTCACTTAGCCAGCAACTGGATATCAGGAAATTTATTTTCAATGATCAGAAATAAAGCAAAATTTATTATCCCATCAATGTTAAGAACAAAGAACAAGAACCGATCTCAATGTCCAACAAAGGAGAAATAAACAGGGATATATCCACATGTGGTATGCATAAATATATCCTATTTTGGAAGAATGATTAATGGCCTGTTAAATACTCACAGTTTATTATGAAGAATAAAAGGTAGAATGTCATGTGATTTTAGAACTTAAAAAAAAATAATAACATGTATCATATGGTAGACAGGGAAAATGTAAGAAAACCCAAGAAATTATAATCAGTGGTTATTTCTGGGTAGCAAAATTATAGGTTATGTTTATATTTTATTCTTTTACATATTTTTCATTAAAACATATTTACACAATCAGAAAAGTAGTGATTTTTAAAATGAAGCAGGAAGTCAACATTTTGAACTGTGAATCATAAAGAAGCTACCTTTTAAAGAAATAAAATTTTAAATGTGGTAAATAAAAGTCAAGTTAGTGAATATGTAATTGCAAATTCAGCACTTCGTGCAAACAAGGGCCCTACAACAATTAGATGACCACACCTTGGGAAAACTGCTCTGATTTTCCCATAGCAGGGACCTACCAAGAAGGATGGCAGCTAGAAGAACAACTATAATCATACCAAAATAAAGCATGGCCCTTGACTACTAACCACAGGGCATTTTTTTTCCCAAAAAATAGACATAATTTATAAGTCCAGGAGCTAATGAGCTTATGAGGAGACAACTAGCAGCCCTGCCCAAGCTTTCTGAGACCACCAAGTTCCTGAAAATCATCACAGCATTTCAATATAATATACACATGTATATTCATGTGCTATGCACACAGCTCATAAAATTTTTATGTGAAAAAATATGTAAAAGAATAATTCATTGTACACATGCACCATCTACATACACTTCACATGTCCTGAGTGGTGTGAAACCAACCTTTTTCCTTAGACAGATGTCCTAATGAATATTCCAAAGTGATGCTAGGGGAAGATCAGAGTGGGTATATAATTGTCCTAAAAACTCTCTTTTTCTGTTTCATAAGATTAATCATACCAGGCCTCCCTGTGAGATCAATCAATAGCACACAATAGCCCTGAGGTTTCACTGCACTCTGAAAGTAGAGAGGAAATAGAGGGGCCAGTATAGCACATGCTTGACTAACCAAAGAGGCTAGGCACACTTGAGTGACAGCCCTTCAGCTCTGCAGAAACTAGGACCCTGACCCAAATGAGGGTCTGCTGGTTTGTCAGAACAAGTCTGTATCTCCCCTGCAGCCCGTCTTCAAATTCCCTTCTTGACTCATCTTTGAATCCCCTTCTTGGCTGTGCTCTAAATCTAGACCCTCACTGGCTCTGGAGCAAAGATGAGAAGATGGCAGTATGAGGTGGGCCATCCTGCTGAATGCTGACCTCACAAGAAAATTCTTAAGTGACAGGATCATTCCTTTTATTCTCAGCAGAGGCAGATGAGAGTCTAAGCAGGAATAAATTGGTCAATCATTAAATTTGGCACCTTGTCCCTAAACAGCAGGGTCAGCAATGTGCCCAGAATCCTGCAGGGAAACACACATTCAGTATCCCCCATAGCCTGATCACTAGCTCAGCAACTCCTCTTACATCCAAGGAGTATCATTCAAATTAATATCTCAGCAAAATTGACAAGTATTGCTAGTTTTTCGTGAACCAGGGAAGTGGCCAATATAGTAAATCTGCCCCAAATTGGCAGCATTCTCTACATACAGAGCAGTTGCTGTGTGGTATGACTGTGTCCCTCAAATTTCATCTGTTGGATGGGCCTGGGGTTGTGTCTGAGCAGTGGAGTGCTTCCCTAGCACGTGCAAGGCCCTGGGTTTGATCCTCAGCATCACATAAAATAAATAAATGAAATAAAGGTATTGCATCCAACTACACCTAAAAACTAAATATTAAAAATAAAATTTCATCTGTTGGAAACTTAATTTCCAAATTCACATGTTAATGGTATCGAGAGGTGGGAACATTAAGAGGTGACTGGGTCCTGGGGGCTCTACCCTTATAAATTTATTAAATAATTCATGGATTAATATCTGAATTAATTGGTTAGTGAGGGAGTAGATTTGTTATATAAGCAAGTTGTCCATGGCACACTTGCTCTGCCATACCCCATGAAGCTTTCTGCCATGTTATAATGCAACAAGAAAGCCCTCACCAGATGCCAAACAGATGCCAGACAGAATCATGCTCTTAGATTTCCCAGCCTCTAGAACTGTGAGCTTAAAAAAAAAACCCTATAGCCAGATATAGCTATTTTGTTATATTTAGTTATAACAACTAAAAATGGACAAGATCACTATTCTTAGTCCTTGCTTGGATATGATGGCCAGGGTTCTTTCCCAAGCCCAAGCCTAGGCAATCAGCACCCTGAGGAAGAACAAGTGCCTGGAGCAGGCATGGCTATCTCCACAAGCTGTGGGTTACTCTGCCACTCAGTCAAAGCTGAAGGTTGGTTCTGAAACCCATTACTGTGCATATACCCAACTGAGTTTGTAGTTGAAGAACTTCCATGGAAATATGACTCAACTCCAAGGGAATGAAGTTCATTTTTGATAGCACCATTTTATAGGACTATTCTGTTCACTCACCAGCTTGCAAGGTGCAGTTGTGCCAGGTAAACACAGGTGTGCAGGGAACTAAGCCCCAAGAGTAGAAAAAACACCTTTGGAGCAAGTTCTCCTTCATAGAGACCAGCTCTGCTCCCCTCTTCTAGACTTTGCCTCTGTGTGCTCTTCCTGAGACATGCCCACATGTGGAGTGTCTGCTTCCAGAATACCTTCAGCATGGTGATCCAAACCCCAGTCTGCAATATAATTCTTGATAACAGGGATATTATAATCCCTGCTAATAGAAACTTTCTTCTGTGCACTCTGGTGGGAGGAAGTCAGACTCTCGTTATGCACCATCTTAATGGACAGTCAAGGCACAGTCCCCAGTGAAATTTTCAAGAGAACAGCAAACATGAAATATCCAGCAAGCCCACCACTATTTCCTGACTCCAGGTTCAAGCTGAATTATTCATAACAGCCTCTGTGTGACAGAGCTAGTTCCAGCAATAAATTTTTAATACCTTTTTCTTTCTGAGCTAACTGCACCTATACCAGAGTCTCTCTAATTGCTAAATGTATACTTATCCCCGTGTATAGCAGAATGCATTATTGCGTTAAAAAAAAATCTAGTAAGTCTCAAACTAGGTAGTTAAATAGAAATTTTAAATGAGTTTTTTAAAGTACCTGAAAAATTCCATGAAAGAGAATCCATATCCATGTTGCTCTGCAATTCCTGCACAAACGACATTTGCAGATGCTCCAATCAGTGTCCCATTACCTGGAATCAAAAATTTTAAAATAGAATAAAATTCCAATTTATCTTGGTGGTAGGTTTCTGCTCTTTTGTTCTGTGATATTTGGACCATTTCAGAGGCGTTGATTTGATGATTACTTTACAGGCACGATCAAAGTGATTGCTTTGTAAATAAATATCTAGACACACACTTGCAACCAGAAAATAAGTTCTCTGCTTAAAAATACCATGATTCCTTCTCAGATAGACTATATCCTCTCTGTGATAGAAAAGAGAGAGAGAGAGAGAGAGAGAGAGAGAGAGAGAGAGAGAGAGAGAGAGAGAGATGCTAAGGAGAATGGGCAAGTCATAGTGGAATCACACGGTATGTAACCTTTAGGGGAAAATGCAAGTAGAGCTAAGAACCACAGGTGAGAATGTGTGTCCTCTGAGACAATGGAATGAAATCTCAGACAAAAACTGCCTTCCTTGGGCTCCAGGCCCAGACACCTGCCAGGAAACTCTTTCAGTGAATGAAAGAATGGATGAAAACAACCAGGTGAAACAATGGAGTTTGGCACTGTTCACCAAAGGGCATCTCCTTCATATGAAATACCTTCTCAGGTAAGTCTTTTTTGACAGTGCACAAGGTGAGGAGAGACACACTGTACACACATGAACATAAGCCAGTGCTCAGGGCCTGGGTAAGGGATAGAGCCAAGACCAGCCAATCAGATCATTAGATCTCCCCCTTCCCCTCACACACTCACAATGATTGATTCGGGGAAGGGTGAATCTGCATGGCCAAGCCAATGGGCCTCTTCTTTCCCTTGAACTGTGGCAATCAACTAACAGGAATGGTTACATGACCCAGATACAGCCAATGTAGCTGAGTGCTAACATCTGTGCCTAAACATTTGAAGAACAGACTCTTTCTGTGGAGGACTGGTGATCTGGGAGACACTGCTCTGTAAATACCCACAGCATATCAGCCCAAGGGAATGACCTTCTGCAAACAGAAAGAAGAAGGAGGATCCATGTCCCCATGAAGAAATGAGGCAGGGTTCCTATTTTTGCCTTGGGGAGGTAGATGACACAGAAATGAGCAGGGATGGTACAGGATTATGTCATGTAGCTCATTGTGCAGGCTCTATACATTGGATTTCCGCCCACCTTCCTGGGAATGTGGTGTGGATGACACCATAGAGATTGCTCTCCCCTCAAAATCTCCCTAAACCAGAATACGTCCTCATAACCTGAACTCTCCTCCCCAACTAGGTCCTTGCCTTTTGAGCCATCCCTTTGTAAGAAGTCAGCTGGCCTCCTGACTTGGGATGTAAAACATTATCTTATTAAGTCTCATTAATCCTGTTTCTTTTAAGGATATTTTCAATTATATGAAAGAGGAAACCTGACTAACAGTAGCATAATCTCTCATGGAATGAGAAACTTGGAGGTGAGGGGCTGGTGAGCCTCCATTCAATGTCTCATGTCAGAGGCAGGTCTCTTTAATTCTCTGAGCATCTATTTTTATCATGATATAGTTTCATGACCACATCTGAAGCAGGAAGATGTGGAAGAGAATGGGCACCCACCTGTTTGTATGAGGGAGGCAAAAGCATTTCAAAAAGTTCCTAAATAGTCTTTCCTTTTGTCTTATTAGTCAGCAAAATGAGACAACCAAAGTGGACATGGCCTAGGGAGCTACAGAGAAGAAGTTGGGGAGGGAGTTGGGTCAGCCCCCCAGTGGTGAGTTATATGTGCTTGGTACAGCAGAAAGAATTGCTAGATAAGGATTCAGAATAGCTCACAGTCTCCAATCTTCTAGGCACTGTAACTTTTGCAAACCACTGATCATTTCTGTTCTATTAAGAAGTTTTGGGATATAATGAAAGAAACATGCAAAACAAGATGATGACAGCAATAGAGAAAGTCTCTGTCTCCCTCTCATGTGATGGGCAGTCAGAGAAGGAGCAAGCCCCAAGGTGTTTCTGCAGGGCTCCGACAGGATTTGTTCTGTTCTTCTGTGTGTTCCACCACCCACCAACATGCACAGAGCTGGTCCCACACTCGGACTGGAGATGACTCCAGGCATCTCTGTCAAATGGCAGTGTCCAAAGGAAGAAGCAAGTTTGTTCTCAGGAACAGGGAAATCATCAGAAGCCTCCTCTACCCCCAAAGACACCCGCTCAAGCCTCCTTGATTGCAAATGGCTATTCCTACACACCTCCGTGTCAGCTACCTTCCAGGGAAAGAACCCTCTGCCTATCCTGCCTGTCATGGGCAGGAGAAATGTAAGGGAGCCAACTTCACCTGTGGGAGATGGGGACAGAACCACCTCCACCTCCAGACATCTCATGGAGCAATTGTGGAGTAACTTAAGATTGCAAGTGTACTATTCAAATACAGTACAGTGGTACAGTGGTTGTTGCAGTACAAATGCTTCCCAACTTACAATGGGGCTACATCCCAACAGACCTATTATAAATTGAAAATGTTTTAAGTAAAAAATGTTTTGAATACCCCTCACCTAGCAAACACCCTAGCTTAGCAACACCACACTCACTGCAGAGGATCCGTTGTTTCCCCTTGTGATCATGTGGCTGACTGGAAGCTACAGCACACTGCCACTGCCCAGCATTGAGACAGAGAGAGAGAGAGAGAGAGAGAGGTGGGGGGGTCTTGCTGCAGAGTGCTAGCTCAGGAAAGGAGTAAAACTCACAATTTGTAGAATGGTTTCTATTGAATTTATATCACTTTCACACCACTGCAAAGTCAAAAAATTGTTAAGTCAGATCACTTGTAAGTCAGGGACTGCCTGTAGCTTGTAAAATACTAGCAGGGTTTTCATGGCACCACAAATGGCATAGGTTCCATGGAGCAGGGAGAAAGTGATCCTAGGTGTCACTACCCCAGCTCAAGCCTCTGCCCCAGTTCCATTTACATAGAAGTAGATGGGGAATGAAGTGTGCAATGAGCAGCTGCTATATGTCTTGGCATTTCTGGGTTATCCTACACGGACATGTGATCAATGGATCTAGAGAGAGAATGAGAACCATTTTGAAAATTATTCCCTGCCCTGTTTTTGATGAACGTTTCATACAAAGACTCTCCAGCCTAACTTCCTATGTCAGCCAGTGCAAGTTGGATTAAATAGGCCATGCTCCCATACCAGTAGTAATTTTCCACTTGACAGAAAACATGAAAATGAACTCTAGGTACTGGCATTCCCTTTGGCAAGTTAAAGAGCCACCTGTCCTTCAAGATACACGACCCAGAGAAAGCAACAGGTTTGAGTACAGCCACACGCTGTTTTAATTGTCCCCAATCTCTCAATAGCCACGCACAGAAACATTCTTCTTTCCCCTTGTTCTTTGAGTTCATGTCACTTCCTCTGCTCAGTATTTCTGCCCTAGGATTGCAGCTACTGAGCAACCCTTAATGTGCAAAATTGCCTCAGCCTCTGCTTTCCAGGAACTTTGCATTAAGATTTTTTTAAAGACTTTTTAAGTTGTTCTTAACTTAATAAAAAAAAAAAAAAGTAACCAAAAAGTATTGGGATCAGACCAGTAAAGAAGTTTTTCTTTCAAACTATCTAGTGAATTTCTCCTAATTTATACAGTAACTGATAATCCTAATATCAACTGAAAACCTCTATTTAAAGTGTTCTTCAAGCTGGGTGTGGTGGTGCACACCTGTAATCCCAACAGCTCAGGGGGCTGAGGCAAGAAGATTGCAAGTTCAAAGCAGCCTCAGCAAAAAAAAAAAAAAAAAAAATGAGGTGCTAAGCAACTCCGTGAGAACCTGTTTCTAATAAAATAGGGCTGGGGATGTGGCTCAGTGGTCAACTACCCCTGAATTCAATCCCGGTTACCCGTCCCTGACCCCCCTCCAAAAAAAAAAAGAGTTCTTCAAAATGCCAAATACTGAAAGAATGGCAAGTTGCTGTTTCATAGTTATGGAATTTCAGTTGGGGATGATGAAAAGCACTCTAGCGATGGATGATGGTTTTGACACAGTGTGAATTACAATAGGAAGATACACAAAGTGAATTACAATGTGAGTTAGGTACAATGTGACCATATCTGATGCCACTGAACTGCACATTTAAAAATGACTAAGATGGTCAATTTTATGTCATGTAGATTTTATCACAGTATTTTTTTTTTGGTAGTTGGGGGGTATAACCCAGGTATGTTCTACAACTGAGCAACTGAGTTCTTTTTATTTTTTATTTGGAGACAGGGTTTTGCTAAATTGCAGAGGCTGGCCTCAAACTTTCAATACTCCTATCTCAGCCTCTTGAGTTACTGGGATTGCAGGCATTCATCACCCCCAGCTACTACAGTATTTTTTAAATGCCAAACCCTGAGGCAATGAGAGAGAGAGATCCCTCATCAAAGGATAACATTAATAGCCAGAACAATGGATCATCTGCTATGCTGGAAGCAAGTGCCTTTCAGTAACAAGAGCTGCTAGGTTAAAAAGATCCCAAGATTTATAACCTATATTTTTCCCTACTGTTGTATCCCTACTTCACAAGTGAGCTCATCAGTATCTGATCCTATTTGAGGTTATCATCTTATATATGATTCATGTTAAGCTCTCTCCCTTAGGCTCCCCTCTGTAGGCACCCTACATGTTTTAGGGAAATCAGAACCAGTGCAGGAGACCTCTCATCCTTTAAGACCCTGCTAGAACCTTCCTATTTGGAGCACCTTCTTTGACTTTTCCTCCGGTCTCTCTTGGGCACCCCTTGAGGACTTGAGGCATCTACTAGGATAGGATGTAGCAATCTGCTATAAGGTGACTCTTTTCCCCACTCAAGATCAGGGAAGAATTAATTGCCTGGCACAATTTCAGGCTATTACAGCCGATACTCAGTAAGTCTGAATGAACAAAATCCCACATGGGGGATGTACCTCCAGGTGTCCTTGGATTCTGCTTCTGTTGCCAGTGTTAGGTGTAGCTGTGAATGAAGTTCCTGTTGCCTTTCCTGGAGCTGTTTCTTAGTTGTGAGCAAGTTTATCAGTTTTGCACTCTTGTGAGAAGTTAAGTCCTGAACCACTGAATTAGAGGAATTAGCTGTCTTTTGAAATTATAGAAACTTTACTACATGGCATTAATCCCCCTTCACAAATAAGGAGATAAACTAAAAAGAAAGTTATTGATTTAATAGAGATCAATCAACAAAGAAGGCAGGATTATGTAACCATGCCTGGATGTAAGAATAAAATACTTTAAATATATCTGGTGTGTTTAGCTAAGATTTCCACAATTCTCCTGTTTCCCCAAAGTTGATTAAGCTTCCTAAAGGTGAGAAGGATCCAGCTCCTTTGGAGGCAAACACATGTTTCCAAAGACTTCATGTTTTGTCCCCAAAGTCAGTTTCATTCAATATTCTAGTTTACTCTGCAATTTCTCTAAACTACAACCCCATCACCCCCGCCAAAATAAACCTTCCATATTTTTTCCTGCTATTAGGTTGGAATCTCTATTTCTCAGGGCTCATTCATTGACCACTGTCACCCCTGCTGCTTAAGGAAGAAAAAAAGGGAAGGGGAAGGAAAAGAGAGAAAAGTGCCACTGAGGATGGCTTCTGATTCATAAGCCAGACTTCCCGTGTGGCACAGTATGGTTGCACATTAACTTTCAGACATCAGTCACAATCATCCTCAGGCCATGGGTGTGGGATGTCAGAGGCAGTTCTCAGAGAGTGGGAAGTGACAGGCTTCACAGAGGAACTGAGTAGCTCTGGAATCATTCCAAAGGAGAAGATGTGTTTCCCCTCAGGAAATCTTCAAGGCTCTCCTTAATTTACTTTCTATCTGATACTCACTCACGGTTGCTTTGGGCATGACAACAGTGTGGGCATGCTCTCCTGGGGGGCAGTCAGCACTCCTTACCTCCCAGGCAGGCACCGAAGGCCAGGGCATACATGAGTGGTGGCGCAGGCAGGCTGACCTCAGGGTCTTGGCTCAGGTTCAGGAGCACAGGAATCTGTGGAGGAAAACACCACATCTCACAGAAGCTCACAAGAGCTGTACATTGCAACAAACTTCAAGAATATCTAAGTGCTTCTACAACAGTAAGGCTGTAGGAAGCATAGAGATGCATGGAGGGAAACGAGAGTCAACTTTGAAATCCACAAAAACTTGAGTTGAGACCCATCTCTTTATGTTTGAATCCAGCCACATGGAAAAACTGGCTCTCCTTGTTGTAGCGTGTCCCTCTGATGCTGCTGTGGGTCTTAAGTAGAAGAAAGTCATGTAGCTTCTAACACAGCCTGTCTGGAAATGTTACAAACCCACTTCCTTTTGTGAAACCCTACAAATCTCAAGCTTCCTTTACACATGCATCATTTTAGTTAATTCCCAAACATTCTTCAGGTGTCTTTTATCAATTGACAGATAAGGAAACTGAGGCACTGATAAGTACAAGAACACAGATCTCACAAGTGACCAAGCCAGAACAATTCTCTGCTTCCAAATTGCACACTGGTAAACCAGGGGTAACCTGCTTCTTAACACTGTTCACTGCCAGTCATCTCAACCCCACTGACATTCATTATAGGACAACAGGTAGATTCTGAAAAACTAATGTGACTCCATTTTTGAGAAACCAGCCTCTACCTTAGAGCAAAGCCTGTCCTAAGGAAGGGGGCGTAACCTTTGTCCTTGGAAAAACCCACAGAGCACTCCTAAGCACATACCCACCCTGCTGAGTTGTTTGTCTGTAAATAATAGGAGAGGTCTGCAGTGCCTGTGTCCCTGACTCAGATAGGCTAGGTGAGGACCCATAGCAACCCCCCTAGCAACCTCCAATCAGCATGAGACAGGGAAAATACTGGAATGCCAGATGATCCCCAAGTAGTTTATGGTGGTTGATAACATGTTGGGAAACCATGTAGTTTAGCACGAACACCCCTCGTGGCCTAAACCAATCAGTTCAAAGGAATTCTCCTCTTGTACTGACCAATCACCCTTACCCAACTTGTTCCCGCCAGTGAATTTGCTAATCAATGTTAAGAGTTATCGTCTGACTTTCCCACAGTATGGAATTATTTGTTGTGTGATGTTGTGATGCATAGAGTATCCCCCCAAAACCTATAAAATCTCACTGAACAAAGGACCAGCTCACTCCCTGGGACCGCTGCATCAGAAACAGTTGTGAGTGCAGGCTTGAGCTTGCAATAAAGACTCTTGTGTGATTGCATCGGATTCGGCTCCTACTGGGGTCCCACGAATCTGGCATAACAATTCTATAACTAGGAACAACCATTCTCTAGTAAGTCATGCCAACATCAGGTGCACCTTTCTTGCAGAGATGAATTTCACATTATTATATCCAATAAAATGTAGTGGCTGTGAAATTTCTGTAGAAATCTGTGTTCCAAAATGTGCTGTGCTTAAGTCTCCCTGAATGTTCTTTTAATTGATGGTTTGTTGTCCTGTGCCTTCAGGACACACAGTGATTACTCTTCTCTTAGACTGTTAATCTCTAAATGTGCTACAGAGAGGTGCCATGGAGCTAGGAGATGGCAATATGGAAGCCTGGTCAGTTGGGTCATACAAAGTGAAGGGTCCTCACCCCTGGGCACTGCAGTACCCTTCCAGGACTGCTCTCCCCCACCAGAGGGAGTCTACTGTGCATCCACTGCTTGGGAAAGAATTGCAACTACACAGCTGATCAGGACCTGAGTCAGTACCAAGCTGATGGAGGAAACAATCGCTATGCTACTCACATTTCTGCTTCTCTAGCTCTTAGTACTTCGGTAGCTCACACAATGGCAGAGTTGGGATTCCTGCTCAGATGGACCCTCTGCAGAGCCTGAGCTGTGAATTCCTACAAACGTTCACATTATTAACCTAATGCTGTCCACTGAGCCTGGTTCAGCCCTCTGTATTATTTTGTTCCTGAATATTTTAGGAAACGATGAGTTAAAACCAAAAAAAAAAAAAAAAATCAAGTAAAAAGCAAAAGGTAAAAGCTAAAGTGAAATGCTTCTGACTTTTATCACCTGTGAAAGAGTGTTTGTTCCCATATCAGGTGTCACAGCCAGCAACTACAGCTGCCCTAATATCTCCTTGTGGGGCCTGCAAAGAAACCTGGGGGGGGAAAGATGCCTAAGAACAAGACAGCCTTGAGAACCTGATTTCCACATAGAGGTTGAATGACAGCACAGAGAACCATGAGTATCTAAGAAGTCAGTTAAGGAAAACCCACAAGATTATGTGCATAAATTACCATTTTTTGTATTCAACATCCAGGACAAGAATAATAACATTTTAACTTGAAAATTGCCTGAGACTCCTTCCTGTTCAAGTCAATGAGGTTGAAAAGATCAGGCGTCAATGGAGAAAAACTGTCAGAGAATCCTCAGTCATTAGCAAGGTATTTCAGGTTTTCAGCACAGTCTATAGGGCAATGTAGCAGAAAACCAGGAATGCTGACCACAAATGCAGGTCTGGGTTCAGATTCCCACAGCTCCCTTCTCAACTGAAGACAGGAGAAGAAAGGAGAAGTAGGTGGATGGGACAGGAATTTCCCTACATAGAAATAGGTGATAAAATACTGAAATGTTTCCATATCAATCAATGGAGAGCCACTGCCCCCAGACCCCAATGCCTCCCATCAGCTCAGCCCCTTTGGGCCTTCTGCCTGTCCCAAGCAAGAGAGAGATTAACAGTGACACAAGGGAAGGGCCAGAGGGGCTCCAAGCTGCCGGCTTCAGAATATCTGTGTCTGCTCCGATTATATTAAATATTGATGAAATATCAAAATTAAATTGATTTAATACTGCTGTTTTATTTGTCACCATTAAAGATAAGCAAAATAAAAATAAAAGGAAGAGCCTAAGACAGAGATATAAGGAAAACCCAACAGAGTAAATCTAATCCACAAAGGCCCTGCCCCTCCCTCCCCACCACCACCACCGCTGATGACATGGCTTTGTTCTGATTCACTGAAGCCCTGTCTAGCTGATTTAGAGAGATAAACCCAACTACAATCTGTTTCTTTCTTCTCTGGACATGGTGAGATAAGCAAAAATCCGCTAGTGGGATCCTACCAGTTATGAATTGTCTTTGGATTACCCAAATTATTTGGCGTTCTTCCCCGACCACTGGAAGAAAAGAAATATCACAAATGAACGTGAACTGAGGTTCCAACTGCAGCTCTCAGAACAAAGCTGACAACATGGATTTAGAAGAAAAACCCCAAACTAAAGTCCCATTTTGGAGATACCACACCAAAGAATAAAAGGCTTCATTTTGTCTCTTTAAGCTCACACTCCTGAAATAATAAAATAACATGAACATACCTTCCACATGAAAGATCCCTTCCAAGCAGATGCTGCGCTCTTCATCAAGGGTAGCCCCCAACTCTCACCAGCTCTCCCTTAAACCCACATTTGCCAGCATTTAAGTCACTGGAAATGGCTACTGCATCTGCCAGCTCTATGACCCTGTGTCATTTTCATACATGTTGAAATCTCCATGGACAAGTGTCTCTTGACCTGGAAAATTACCTTGGTCAGAGCTGTTTTGGCACAGCTGACCAAGACTGGGCTAGAACACAGGCATCTCTGTGGGTCAGGAGGCTGAGTCACTGAGCTGTGTGTCTGATAACAGGTGAATCGGTCTTTACCACTGTATTTTCACAGTGTATTCTTTGGTCTCCTTGTTCATTCCTCAGATGAACCCTGAGTGGGCCTCCAAAGTGTTTGCAGAGAAAATCAGAACTCCAAGAGATGTTTGGTTGGAGCTGACCATATGGACAGTCCAAGAAATCAGACACCCTAGAGCATAACCTCAGATGCCTGAGCACCAGGTGTGCCAGGCCAGATCATGAAGGTTTCAATGGTGAGGATGAGGCACTGCATTTTTCGGGCAGCAGGAAGTGGGGGACATGCATGATTGCTAAGGTCTCCGGTATGAGCCAGACTCTTGTTGCCCATGTACCCTCTACATCATGTCCTGAGTCAGAAGACTCCACAACCACACAGAGTGAAGATCCTCCTGGTCAGAGGGGACCCTCGATAGGCAGAAAGCCTAAGTCATCTCCCATTCATATCACTGTATCTGTTGCCCCACATGAATGGGGGCATGGGCAGGACCCCCTGCATCCACAAGATGGGAAAATAATGAAAAGTTGGAACCCCAGGGACACAGACTCACATTAATTGCAGGTGGCCCTGGGGAAGAGAGCACCTGTAGACAATGGCCTGTCTCCAATGCTCATGGTCCCAAAACACCCATTCTATTCCCAGCCCTTTCCAAGTGCCCATCACAAACCAGTGCACCCAGCAGCTGATGAGTAGATGTGTGCACCCAGCTGCACCTGGGTGATTGTCCTACCCAGTGGCTTCCATGGGGAAGGTGGATCTGGAACAGGGACCACCTCCCACTGGAGGAACATAGAGGGCTATACGTAGTAAGATTGACTCCAGGCAAGGGAAGGAAAGAGTTGAGAGGGAGAATTGTGACCAGTAGAAAAGAACCACATAAACCAAGGCACAAGAGATCTTAGCACCATGGTAAAGAGAGTGGTTCCATGTCAATGATCAGGAGGACTGGCAGGAAGGACAGGCAGAGGTGGTGTCTGTGACTCTGAGAGATGCAGGGAAGCGATAGGGTGACAACTACCTCAAAAAGAGAGTGGCCAGAGGATGATAGGCTGATGGGGAGGGGTGGGGAGGAGCAAAGAGTTACTTTAGAAAAATTAACCTACTTTAGTTAATTCATTTTTTAATCCATTTGCAAACACTTTCTAAATATTTTCTTTATGCTAGGCATGGTGCTAGTGAATGACCATAGAGACATGAATTGATAGAGTTCCCAGAGAGTTGCAGAATCTCTTGACAATAATCTTAGTGAATAACTTCGTGGCTATGTGCAGAGAACTATGGGACCCCAGAGGAAACTGAGGCTCTACATTGAAGAGAAAGCACTGAAGTAAGCATAGATGAAAGATTTGAAGCCTTTCCTAGGTTTGAAGAA